CCACTAGCTCAGCTGGTAAGAGGACAATTGGGAGAGGGGGTGAGAACACTCGCCTTCACCAAATAAACAAACTTCGGAGCACGGTCCAACCGACCACGCGGTTGGAGGCCTCCAGTAAACAAGAGCGGAGCGAACGCTACCGTTAACCAAATAGCAAAATATAAGCAAAAAACCACTACTTACCAGTGTTAAATCACACACATAGTAGTCATAAACAACGTCGGAGCACAGTCCAGCCGACCACGCGGTTGGAGGTCTCCTAACAAGCGTGAGCGGAGCGAACGCTACCGCTAACCAACGGCGAAATATAAGGAAAACTACTCACCGGTGTTGAATCACACACATAGTAGTCAGACGCTGTAAGTTGGGAGAGGCGGAAACAGCCGTAGTTCCCAACGAAACAGCAGAAATACCTTTGAACAGGGTTAAACCGTCGCAGCCCTAGGAGGGCGAACACGCTACTCCCGCAGACGGGCAGTCGGGCTTCCGACGACGGTAAAAAGTTCAGAAAAGGTCCAAAGGGCTGAAGCCCTGAATTGAACCGCGCGCGAGAAGAAAATAGGAGCAGAGCAGCGGATGACGTCGGGCTATATAGCCTCTGATTGGTCATCCGTGTCACACCTGTGACTCTGTTGGTATTATTACTCGAATCAGCGCATGCGCGAAGGGAACATTCAGTGCTTTCAGCACCGCCCTCTGGCGGTCAGGAGGGATGAAATAGAACTGACGTTAAACTCTCCGTAACATTACCTCCCTTGGACGATTCCATTTAGAGAGGATGTCCAACAAGTCTGTGGATGATATAAAGTAAAATCGCGGAAAAGCGATTCTCTTTGTCTCCAAGTATTCGGTAAGAGCTTTTTCACATAAGGCCAGCCTGTCAGTAAACAAGCACATAAACAATCAGCAGATCAATTTAGAAAAAAAATTTGCGATTTAAAATAAACATGAACCTTTTTTGCAAGTCCTCTAACTTGTTAAGTAGTTTTGGTTTGTTAGTGGCCTCAATAGTATTTTTAGTCTTGGCACTATTCAACATCAGCTCCTGCACAAACAAACAAACAAACAAACAAAAAACCTCAAGTTACAAATTTTCAAAACAGCCTATAACACCTAAATCATTGGTATGCATTTAAACACCTGAAATTCAGCATCTACTGCTTGGAATCGTTGTGTATCTGCAGGAAGTTGTTGGTGAATATCGTCAAAGCCTTTGAAGATGCTTTCGAGGTCAACCCATGACCTTTGGACCTCCATCCAAACCACCAGCACAGAGTCTGCTACAGTCAGCTGGTTTTGTAGCTCCACTGCTTGCAGCAGAAAGTGATCTACGTGTTTGCTCTGAAAGACACTCTGGAGCTGAATCTGGAGGACAAAGAGGCCGAGACGTTATAGCTGATAAACTAAAGGACTTGGGTTGCTGTAAAACTCAAGCACACCACACTACCACCCAACTTCTTGCCAGGAGGGTGTGATATATTGACAATGTGACATCACTACATATATCAGTTTTATTTCAAAACACATTCCACCTCATCAGCATGGCAACCCAACCATTTCAACAAAGATGGAGCTACTAAAGTGGCAAGACTTCTAATTGCAGGCTGTAACCCTCCCACACATCTGGTGTGCGTGTTCAAAGAGCACCACGGAGCAACAATGTCCCGAGTTTCCAAGCAGCTATAAATTCAATCGCTCAGTAGGGATCGCTTTACTCTCAACTGTGCTAGTAGACATAAAAACAGGACCACCTTCCTGCGTTCTCATCTAACCATTTAACTATCTGTCCTTCAACCAGACAAACAATCTTAAGGACAAATTCTTGTATTTTACAGCCATTATGCATTCTTCTTCTCTGTGAGACCATAAGCAAAGTTTAGGTAGTAAATCAGGTATTTACCTGATGATCCTCAAGGGTTTCAATAAGCACCTCATCACATTTAAGCAGTGGCACAAAGCTCTGGTAGTGTTCTTCATATGAAAGCTCCATTGAAGCCCATGTTTGACTTATTTCAGTTACAACCTGGAACAAATAGAGAGGCACTATATTAACAAAATTGTAATTAAAAATAAATAATAATAATAATAATGATGAGAACAATAATAATACCTATTCCTGGGTTTAGTCCCTGTTTCCATTATTGTGTGAATGCTTGTGAAGCATTCATAAGCATTCATGCTTTTTCAGCTACTTTTCGGCTGTTTTTCTTGCTACGGGTAATTTCAGCTTTTTTCAGATAACTTCCACTGTTCTGTGCTCATTTCTGCAGCTTTCAGTCTAACTGGGCAAACATGTTCTTTCTGGGGTTTTTTTTTCCCTGATATTTTAAGCTTTTTCTACCTTTTCAGCTACCTTTATCATCATTTTTAGATAATTTTAGCTGTTTTCATATAAATTCAAGTTTTTCATGGTAATTTCTGCTACTTTCAACCTAATTTTTAATACTAATTTCAGCTTGTTATGCTCCTTTCAGCATTTTTCTGCTGGTTTCAACTTTTTCCACTATTTTAGCTACTATTTAGTTGTTTTATACAAATTTTAGCCTTTTTTCAGCCAACTACAGTTTTTGAGCTCATTTAAGCTCTTTCCAAATCTTTCTGATAATTTAAGCTTCTTTCTGCTTTTTCAACTACTTTTCAGCTGTTGTATTTTACAAATTTAAGCTTTTTAGCTAATTTTCAAACTTTTGTACTCATTGGTGCTTATTTAAAACTATTTCAGCAAATATGTGTTCTTTCTGCTTTTTTCTGCTAAATTAGGCTCATTCCTCCATTTCAGCTGCATGTTCTTTTTAGCTGTTTTCAGCTGTTTTTCAGCAAGTTCTTGTAGAATAAGTATTCACACTGCATTTTCGCAGGAAATGCAATTTCTTTAGTTTACTTTTTTCACTTGCAATATATAAAAACTGTATGTTAGGTAATTAAAATAAAAATATAGCAGATTATAGTGTTTGTTGTTGTATGTTCAGCAATGTGAAATTTACTCAAACTGTTACATGTTTACGAATGATGCTTTTATTTTTAAGCGACAAAAACCTTCTCTATAGCCATTTCTTTTACGGCATAATCCACTACAGTGCGAACTTCCTCTTCAAATAAATGAAGATTTAAAGCCAAAAGGTCCCCCAAGGTGGTGTTGTCTGTCACAGAAAAGTCCATCTGTTTAATGAAAAAAAAAAAAAAAAACTTAAACAAGTCTGTGGTATCTATTGTGGTCTGCTGTGTGCATTTATGCACCTGTGTTGTTCTACTTAGCTGCACCCAGTGTCGCTCGCGTATGGCCAGATTCTGCAGTTGACTAACAGCCCGCAGTGACGTCAGCAAGTTCTTCACATAAAGATCAAATGCAGTATACACATCCCACATGCGAGCGTCTTTGTCAAGCTTCCGTATGTCCTACACAAACAGAAGGCAGGTGAGCAGAACTAGTTATTAGGGACATCTGTTACAAATGGTGATGGTGCATGACAGCAAAACAGCAGGTGAGAAAAGCTGGTGTGATGTAGCACTGGCGGTAGCCTCACTTTGGCAAAGCTCCTTAATTCTGCATCCATCTGGTCTGTGTTTACCTGCCTCCATTTGGTCACTGTCCAGTTTTCAACAGTTCTCTGTGTAGATAAAGACACATAAACAGGAGTCAAGAGAATGAAGGTCCTTTATTGGGACAAATCTGAGACAAGAAGGTCTTCAAATATTCAAAGAAATCATCCAAAAGAAGAAAAACTTCAAATCATTTAGGCACAAGGTTAGTATAGTGAGGTGTTGAGGCTTTCAGTTGTATTTCAGTTTCTTCAAATTTCAGATTATAAATTAAGCTACTTGCCTGGACATATACCACAATGTCCCACAGCTCTTTAAGGACATCAATTTCTCGTCTGCAGCACTTGATGTCTTTGTAGTCAGGAATAGCTACATCAAACAGATTTGTGGACTCTTTGAGCTCTGATACCTCTTGTTCCATTTCTTGAATAGCTTTTTCACACTAAAAACAAAATGCATTTGCATAAAATATATTCTGCAGTATAAAATGTTTATTGTATCATGAAGCAGTGCTTAGATTCTTACTTTATCCAGACAAGCATAGGGATTCACTGCATTGTAACTGAAGGGTGCTGTTGCTTTGAAGAGCTCCCTGAATTTTGTTTGTTTTATCTGAAAAATAAAAGAAAAACTTTTAGTATTTCTCAATGACTCAACACACAATTCTTTTTTACTATATGCTTAAATTTGGTGCCACGTTGCTCTTTGCTTTTACTTGAAAGGTACATTTTTATTGATATGCATGAGTGTAAAGTCATACATTTCAAATCAAACATGCATGTTTTGCTTTAGATTTAAATGACCTTTTAAGTAAAGCCTTATATTCCCATTGGTTTATTGTTGTTCGTCACCTCAATATCCATGCACTGTTGTCGCAAAACCATCACTTCCGCACTTTGCATGGGTGCAACCTCTTGTCTTACTTTTAAAGCCAGTTTTTTTACTTTATTCCATTTCTCCGGAAGCTCCTGCAAAATTTATTTAGGTTAGTTAAAACCAGGATATGTGCAATACTAATTTAAAGTATCGCCTGTAAGTATATTTTTAATAACAACTGCATGTTTAAATATTATGTGCTTTAGTGTATATATTAGAAGTGCAGAAAAACATCTCCTCACCTCCATTTGAGAGTAAAACTGCTCTGGTATTGTCACACCATAGTGTTCTAGAAGAACAATCGTCTCTCCATGAAGCTCAAACATCTTGTCGGTGATGCTTTGTCTGTCTCTGACAGCTAGCAGGTGGCTCATGATTTCCACTAGACCTTGGTGGTCGCCTTTACCAACAGGATTGTTCAGTCCCTCTGCAGTCACTTGGAGAAACGTCTGCAGCTCATCCAGACTGAGTGACAGCGTGTGCAGTGAGACCAACTCATCCAACAGTTGGGGTGAAATACAAGACTGTGCATAGTTGGTTTTTTTTTACCTGTTAGTCACATAGGTGAAAAGGTGCTCTTTGAAAAGCCAGCTCCACTTTTTTATCGTGTTAAGAAGGCTAGCTTTGAAGAATTTAATATCCACCTGAAGCCATCCATCAAAAACCTGAAAGTTTTCCAGCTGGGAAACTTCAGCATGCAGGTTCTCATAATAATCAATCTGAGAAATCAAAACAACATGATACAATAAAAAATAATCCCTGCCACGTATTAAACGGTCATCCATCATCAGTTTGAAAACAACTTCTTACCTGTTCCTTGAAGGTATTGATTGTAGGGGGATTTTCAGGAAGAAGGTCTGTTCTTTTAGCTTCCAGCTCCTCAGTTGTAAATCCACGTCCATATCTAAGAAACTGCTGGAGATACTCTGCTCTGTCATCTTCCCATAGATGGGTGTAGCAATCAAACTTCCTTTGGTAGTTGTTCAATGCTTTCAGGATGTTGTCTACTCTATTCATTATTTCTTGTCTCATGTTTGACAAGTCTTGGACACCATCCATCACATCCTGTCAAAGTAATGTAACAAATCACAAAATAAGCACATCTTGAGAAAAGGAATTAGACAACAAAAACTGCAGATTGTTGGGCAGTCGAAAGCAGTAAGAGACTCCTCTTGTTAATCTAAAACACTTTGTGTCCTTGGCTCGCAACTTAAGATAAATAATGTTATTAACTTACTTTTTCTATATATGAATGTTTCTGTTCAGTGCCCTGAGATGACTTCTGTTGTGACTTGGTGCTATATAAATAAACTGAACTGAATTGAATTCAACTGAATAAATGGAAGAGTGCTGTAGTAACAGTAACCATGTGCCTCTACTACTATCGGACTGGTTTCCGACATCAAAATTTAGTTTTATTCAAACTTTTAAACATAATGACATTGAAAACACCAAAGTTCATGCACAGTAATCCAGGTATAAAATCCAACAATGTTCATGCTTAGATGGCCTCTGGGGACTTTTAAGGAAGTCCTTTGGATGAAGAATGAAACGTCTCAGCAAACGAAACAAAAAAAGAAACCGTCCAGATGACCTGACTGAACATCAATGGATTTTATACCTCGATCATTGAGCATGGACTTTGGCGTTTTGAACCACTTTGGCATGACTGTCTCAGAGGAGTTGACGGGGGAGAGAGCAGTCCCTGGAGGAGATGATTGGCCCCAGAGGCCATCCTAGCACCAGCAAACTGTTTTTTTTTTTCCCACTATGGAGTCTGCCATTTGTGGGAATCAGTTTTGTTTGGTGGCTTCTGAAGTCCTTTGGATGAAGGCCGAAACGTCTCAGCAAACAAACAAACAAAAAAACTAACCGTCCAGATCTGACTGAACATTGTTGGATAAAGAGTTGTCAAGTATCGCATATGCATTTTAATAGGATAATATTTTTAATTTTAGAAGACTAATTGTCTGGAAATGGAGTCGAGTTCAAAATGTTAGTGAGCAAAATAGTTTGATATGGTAACAAAATGTATAATTTTAAATTAATTTAAAGTTTTTAAATTATTATCACAGACATAATCTGTTTAGCTAATATCAAGTATTTTTTGCTTCAACAAGGATAAGTTAACTATTAATGGACTGCAATAATCCTGACATGGTTTAGTGACCATTAGGATGAGACTGTTTTTTACGTCTAAATAAAAGTTTGCAACATTTAGGCTTTTTATCTTGTAATGTATATAATGTATGTCTATACAGCAAACTTTTATTTTTTTTTAATTTCCATGCTCTCTGGAAAATGACTTCTTTATCAAACACTTGATTTGAAAGAAATCCAATGTAATCGTTTGCAAAAACAGGAAATGCGAGACTTGATAGTAAATTGTTAACTACTGAATAAGAAAACCTTTGTTAATTTTTAATGTAAAGTACCTGATAGCTGTCTGTGCTGAGGTGAGCAGCCACTCTTTTGATATTCACTGTAGTTTTAAAAATGTCTTCAATCAGTCCCTCTACCAGCGCATAGAGACCATCTCCCACATCTCGATCCATAAAAGGATGAAAGGTCAACCGCGAGGCATTCAGCATCAACCGAGCCTCAAACAGAGGAGCTTGGCTGGACCTGACGTCCATGCTGTCCAAAAAGAATTGAAGGGAGTGACTGATGTAACCGAAGAGCCCCTCCACCACTACTTCATCCACATATTCCAGGTAGGACTGCCACTCCTCTGAAGCAGGGTCAGCATGAAAAAGAACCATGTTTTCCTGAAAATTTTTGAACATAAACATAAAATATTTGCAAAGTTCTGGCTGCCTTTATTAATCCATATTTGTATAAATATATGTTTAACAATAGATGCTTTAACACATAATGGCAAATGCATCAAAATCTTCTAATTCTTGAAAAGGCCCATAGAACTAAAAAAAAACATTAACCAATGTTTATTTCCATAACGATTAATCTCATGTGTGGTTATATTCTGATAGATGTTTTTACCATTCCATTAAAAGACCTAACCAAAAGCTAAAATAAGATGCAATTTAATTCAACAAAAATCCGTTTAATGTAACGTTTCAATGTAAAATCAGTTGGATGATGTGACACAACCGTTCTGATTTTACTGTTCACATACAGCGTGCAGTAAAATATAAAATATATTCAGCCGTACACACCTCCAGCAGCTGATGTATGAAGTCTCCGTCCTTCTTCATGGAGCTGTACATCTTCTTGATGTAGTCTGCTCTGTCATCCAGCTGTATGAGCGAGCCTTTCTTGTCCTTTCTGCAGAACATGACATTTTTGCTCCACCTCTTCATCACCGACTGAATGGCATCACAGTTTTCCTTGGCTTTACTGACTTGCTGAGCAAGGTCTTTAACACAATCCTTTGTGGTTTCGATGAAGCCCCAACAGTCCTGATCCTGCCATGTTAAACTGGTTTCTGCTTTCACCAGCAGCAGGTCTATGGTCTGCAGCTCAGACTTGATGAGTGGAAGTTCCACCTCTAACATGCTCTTTACATTGTTGTACCATTGCACTAACAGATGCAAACTGCTCGTGTACTTAAAGGAAAAGTACAATTACATGAAAAATCACGTTAATTCTTGCACAAATAATAAGTATATTTTTTTTATTTATTCAAGTGGAATATTCCGAATGTGTATTTTTACCTTTGTGAACATGTCACGCTTCTCAAAAACTGCTATGGCTGTTGCAGGTATGTTGATCTGATTGACAGCGTAAAGATATTTCACATCTTTTAAGATTTCAGTGAGCTGAGAAAAGAAACAAATCATTCTGGATAGCTTTTCTCTGTGCCAACATGGTATGAAATTATCAAAATTAATGGCAGTATGATTTAAAAACACTACAACAGGTATAACTTGACTCAGTAAGTGACCATAAATGCACATCTTTACCATGTAAGTTTGTACCTACATTTTTTTAAATTAAATTTTTTTTTTGGCCAAACCAGCTTAACTAATATAAGTCTTATATTAAAAAAAAAAACTTGAGACTATATGATGAACATGTTTTTACATACAGTGCATAATAGAAAACGTTTTTTGGACACTGTATCGAATACCTTTGGATTAAAATTGACTGAAATCAGGCCAGAAGAGGAATTTCTTGAAATGAGAGGTTGGCTCAGGTTGATCAAGCAGGTCTGCTCCAAACCATCACACCAGTCAAAATAAATCCTCTTTTCATACTGATTTAGAAGACTCAGCATCTCCATGTACATTTGGTACACATTCTCCATCTTCACTCCTTCTATAGACCTAAAAGGAATTTCAAAGATCGTACTAAACTATTGTGAATATTAGTCTATAAATATTTTTCTTAAGGTATCATTTGTAACAACTAACTAATGTATTTTTACTCACACGTCCAACAATAATTTGATCTTCTCAAAAGGTATTTGAATGCGTTCTCTCAGCATTTTTGCCCATTTTAGAGCTCCAGATATGCGTGGCATGTTCTTTGTCAGGCCACTCTCCATCTAAAAATCAAAACAAAAGCTAACAACATCCATTGTGGAAATTAGGTACACTTCCAATTTACAACTTCATAGAAAAATACCTGGTTGAGCTGAGATTTAAACAGACATTTACAATTCTCCAGCTCTTCTCTGAAATGATGCTCAAGCAGAAGAAAACAAGGACTGAAGATCTGTCTGATAGGTCTTTTCTCCAGGAATGGTCCAACAATAGTTAACATCTGGGGAAAAAAAAGAAAATATTACTTTAAAGGTCTTTCAACAAAGTTGTCACGTCCTCTGGACGTTTCTTTTTGTTGAAACGTTTTGTCTTTCATCCAAAGGACTTCATCAGTCATAGGAGCCCCAACAAAGTCAGTCCCATAAGTAGCACACTCTCATAGTGGGCCAATCAGTTTGATAGTGATCAAAACTTTGGTGTTTTGAACCACATTGGCCATGGCTGCTTCAATGGAGTTGACAGGGGAGAAGGCAGATTCCAGAAACCATCTTATCACCATCAAACTGGTTGGTCCACTATGTGAGTGTGCAATTATGGTACCGAGTTTGTTGTGGCTCCTCGTACTGATAAAGTCCTTTGGATGAAAGACGAAATGTTTCAACACAAAGAAACAGTCCAGAGGACCTGACTTAATTTTGTTGGATTTTTTTACCTGATCATTGAGCATGAACTTTGATGTTTAAAGGTCTTTATTTTTACTTTCCTGAACAAGCACTGTGTTCAATAACAGTTTGATAACAGTTAGTTTTACTTACATTCAAGGCTGATTCCAGTCCTGTGCAGTCTTTAAAAGCCAAACAAAGCAGGTTGGCAAAACTGCATTCCAAGTCTTCAGCTCTTTTTTTGAAAGCTTTATACTCGTCTTCAAAATGCTTTGAACAAAAGTAACATTAAAGTATTTAATATGGTGTAAATCTGTGCATATCAAAGTAATATGTTTGGCCACATCATAAGCAGCTCGGTAGATCCCAGAGAAATGCTTAGTCTCACCTGAGAGCTGAAGTCAAGTGGGTTAGAGTCACTGTGTTTCAGTGCATGGCAGTGGTTTCTGAGATCCTTGTACATTCTGGCAACTTGCTCGTTGTACAGCCTTCCTTTGAGCCCACCAAACTCCAGTTTTTCCATTCTTTGAAAGCTCAACATAACTTCCAAGAAGTTCTAACAAAAAAAGAAATTCAGATTATAAAATAATACCAATTGGAATAAATAAACTCTGGTGTCTGATATACTTTTTTCTATGATCTCACCTCAAGCTGTAGCATACGATTAAAAAATGGACTAAAATGGGAAAAAATCACGGCAGCAGGGAAATCCCAGGGTGTGTGATTCTCTTGGTTGGCCAGCCGCTCCTTCTGGGTTTGATAACTCTCTTTGAAACAGTTCAGAACTTTGAGTACCTTCTTTACCATTTGAAGAATTTCCTCTTGATCCTCTCTAAGTAGCAGATCTGCAGACAGGTATGCAGAAGCCTACAAGAAACAAAGTTCTTTTATTCACACAGTCAACAACTGGAAACTGAGTTATAGGCTTGTCAAGAGGATTTATACCTGTTCAATGATCAGATTGCAGAGCTCTTGTAGTAGCACCACAATGCGTTCCGGCCTTTGATAATGCAGGCAATTGGTCCAAATAAGAAATACGGTGTGAAAAAGTGGGGGGGTGTATTTTTCCATATGAAGAAATCCTTCTGTTTCTACTTGAGCCAGTTGTGCATTCAGTGGCTGCAGGTAAAGGTCAATGTCTTTGGCTTCTTTAAGTGCTATTTTATTTGTTTTGGACAGAATGAAAACAAGTTAAATCAATAGGAATGAGATCAAATTTTGTCACCACCATATGCTTCAACTATTTGTCAAGATACAAACTTCTACAATAATTTAAATAAAATAAAAAATTAGCCACCCTTACCATTAGACACATTTCCAATCAGAATCTTGACTGTGGGATGATAGCTGCTGTCCACCACCTCCAGTATATTCTCCATCATTTCAACAATGGGACTCTGAAGCTATAAAGTTAAAAACATTCAGGCGTGACGTGAATCAGCTTTTATTTTAGTAAAAATCAGTGACCCTTACCTGATGGTAAATACTTTCTAGATTGCATTTTCTAGAAGCCCAAAATGTTAGCTCTGCACTGGGCCCTGGATTACAGCCTGTCCTGAATAGGTCTGATGAGTCCTCCTTTAAAATTTTCTGGATCAGACTGGACCAGTTGATAACCTGGGACTCTATGGCATAGACCAGTGCCCGGTCATAGATTTTATGCCTTAAAGAAACAGTAAAGTTATCTAAAATAAACTATAAAATAAATTGTGGAATCTGTGTATGTTTTCTTACATTTTAAACATGTATGATTTCTCCATCCAGTCAGTGGTGGTTGGGATAGGGAGGATAGTTCTCCCTAAAATCTGTCCTTGTACAACTAAAGTCTTACTGCAAATGCTTTCAGCATGATGAGCAACTTCTTCAGACATCAACTTTGTCCACATGTGATGATTTTTGTCATTTGTCAGCAGTGGGACACATACCTAAAGAAACACAGAAGCCATTAGAAAGGTGTGTAGCCCGCATGTAGTCTGACTTTTATTTTGGCGGGCCCACTTCATGTGTTGCCCCAACTCTCTAACTTTTGTTTCTGGTAATGCTGATAAAACAACACTTCAATGAGCAATCACATGGTTGTTTTAAACATGAACAATGTTGCTACAAGTAACAGGCTCACCATGTATTTGAGTTTGCAATATGCAGATCTGAAGAAGTGCAGTGATTTGTTTGGGAGACGCCCACTGGAGCGCACCACAGCCACAGTGGAGAAGGAGGAGGAAGTGAACTGTGACCCACAGCTTTAAAAATAATAAGTTAGAGAGTTGGGGCAATACAGGAAGTGGGCCCGCCAAAATAAAAGTCAGACTAAATGCGGGTTACAGGTGCATAGCTACAAAAAAGTCCATCCATCCATCCATCCATCCATCCATCCATCCATCCATCATCTTTTGCAGGCTTCTTCCTTTTTGGGTCACGGGGGTCACTGGTGCCCATGTCCAATCATCACTGTGCGAGAAGTGGAGGACACCCTGGACAGGTCTCCAGTCCATCACAGGGACACATAGAGACAAATGAAACAAACCACCATTCATTCTCTCACTCACACCTAGGGACAAGTTAGAGTTACCAATCAGCCTAACATGCATGTTTTTGGTCTGTGGGAGGAAACCGGAGTACCCGGAGAAAACCCATGCATAGAGAGAACATGCAAACTCCACCCAGAAAGGCCCCCAGACCGGGATTTGAACTTGCTCGCAGAGAGACAGCAGCTCTACCAGTTGCGCCATAGTGCTGTCCACAATTAAAAAAATAAAATAAAATAAATGGTGGTAATTTAAAGAGAAAAAAAAAATCAATTAAAAGTATCAAAAGAAAAACATAAAAACAAAACAATGAAATACTAAATCAAATCACACTGTGTTAAAAGCCAGAGAAAACAGGCGTGTTTTAAGAAGAAATTTGAAAAACAGGAAGTGAAGTGGCCCGTCTAATGTTGGGGGGCAGATTACTCCAGAGTTTAGGAACCTGCCTGAAAAAGCCCGATCTCCTCTGAGCTTCAGCCTGGTTTATGCTACAACCAAAAGCAGCTGGTCAGTGCCCGAGAAGGAACATATGATTGAAGTAGGTCAGAGAGATGTGAGGGTCCAAGGCCATTTAGGCACTTAAAGGTCAACAGGAGAATTTTAAAATCTATTCTGATATGTACTGGGAGCCAGTGAAGGGAGGACAAAACTGGTGAAATATGCTCAAACCTACAAGTTCCTGTTAAGAGCCGAGCTGCAGCATTTTAGACAGCTGGAGATGGGAAGGGGAGGCCTGACTGACCCCAACATAAAACGTGTAACCGCAATCTAGTCGCCAATCAAAAGTAAACATATACAGTTTTAAATTAATAACAAAAGATCAATCACCTGCTCAGTTATGTGTGATAGCTGTAGCTGTGGTGGTGAGGACAGAAGGCCAAAAAGCAGTATATTCTTGTAGTTCTCCGAATGAATATGAACTTTTCTCTTCTTAAAAACATATATGTGCCTGTTTTCAGCAACAGCGGGGACCTGTGTACATTAAAGAAGAAGAAAAAAAAAAACCGGTTGTGAGTTAGTTCAGTTCCAAAAAGCTAACGTTTTTAAATAACCGTTTTACCTCACCTCATGAGAAGCAATCAGACCATGTTCTTTTGACGAGGAGAAAAACAAAACTGTCTCCTTCTCCAAGAAGACTCTCAGAAGCTGTTGAAAGTCTTCACCTGCAGCACTCTTCTCCCAGGTGTGACTCGGCAGCTGCAACAGCTCGCGCACCTTGTCCACGACAAACTTCACACTCACGTCCTCAAGAAAAGATTGAACACTTTCTTTGTTCGACATATCTGAAATATACGAACATGACAAGCGTCCTGTCACCTCCCTTAACAAAAAAAAAAAAAAGAAGAAGAAAAACAAAGTGTTTGTCGCAGCTTCGGAGCAAAGTGTAGGTAAATTAACTTATTCAGTTTGTATCTGGCACGAGCTGCCCTGATGTGGGAGTGGTTAGCATTCCGTTGCTTAGCAACAACCAATGCCCTCAATCACTGCCTGCCATGATTGGCTTAAAGGAACAAAACTAACAAAATATAGTTTTGCATGTTTGATCAACCTGCTAATAAATGTCTTCCTGTTGTCAAAATAAATTTTTTAAAATAAGTAGATGTTTATCTTGTGCCACAAAATAGTAAATGAAAAAAGTTCCCTACAGGTAGGCTATT